CCACGCCCAGCCGGGTCCAGCAGGTGAGCACAGACGCGCCGCACCACACAAGAACGGCCGCCCGGCGACGCCGGAAGCCCGTCCCCGGTCACGCGCGCTGCCAGCCACGCCCCCTTCTGTGCCGTCATTGGCTCACGCACACCGCTGGCCCACTGCTTTCTGGGTAACGTAGTTTTGTCCTGCGTCCGACCGGGCTGGGGACGCGCATCACCGACCTCCTGGTGCCGGGGTTCCTAGAGGGGTTGGGTTAGCGCGTCCAGGCGCGCTAATAAAGGAAGAGGGCCTTGGGTGTTCGCTAAGGAAACGCGTCCAGATTTCCCCGTTTTGTTTCAGATGTTCTTAATGGAACAGGTGGGCGCACTGCGTGGTAAATGTTTGAAGTTTCATGTTATTCTGATGCCTGGACATCCCTACAAACAAGCTTTTAGCGCTCCGCCCAGGCAACCAGGTGTACCAGTGTGATGAGGCTGGCCCCTGCCACAAGCTCCCCTTCTTGCCCTCGCTTGACTGTGAGCTAATGGCATCCCAATGCATCAGTAAAATCTCCTTAGGCTTCTTTACTTTGACCCCAAAGGAAGGCACTTTTCCATGGATCTACAGTTTTGGATCTCCGCTTGTTTGAGCTAGCTTTCTCGAGGTTCCTCCCATGTAGTCCCCTCCGTGGTGTGCCGGGCTTCTCTCTTCTAGGACCTGCGAGTATAAGTCCTTCAATTTCATATGCCTCTCTGAGTGTAATTTCTGAGGCTGTGTTTAAGTGGTCCTAAAGACCCAATAAGAACGTACATCCTCCTACCTCCAATTACAGCACATGATATGACATCACTCATACAAAGTACGTTCACTCATAGCTGCGAACTAATAGACGCTATCTTGTTGCTTTTCAAATATATGCAGAAAAGCTTTACAGTCTGCTTTGTGAGTTGCAGTATGTTGGTTAGATTCAAAAGAGAAAAAACTTCACATAAAGCCATAACAAAGATGTAGGGGTGAGATGCTGGGCGTCCCTGAAAGAGGCAGGCAAACGTGAAAACTTTCTTTCTTCTAAGTGTCTTAATAAATTTATGAAGTTCCTCAAAATTCTTTGTGGAACATATTAGAATGGATTTAACTTACATAAAATGAGAAAGGTTTACTATAAATTATAATTGTTAAGCTTATTTCATTATCCAAATATCTTTATGATGCCTTATTTTTACCAAAAAAAAAAAATTCCCTAAAAGAGATTTTACATTTCCTCAATTCCTAAATATACTGTTTTTATATTTTATGATGAATGCTATCTTCTATAACTGCTGCTTTCTCAATAATTGTTTCTGATATAGTACATTGATCAAGGAGGTTCTCACTCTGTGTGTAAAGATAAGAGGTTGTTGCAGCTACAAGAAATGGGCTTTCACCAACTGTGTTTTGGTGCCTGCGATACCACGTCCACTCAAAAATCACAAAGTAGGGTCTGGCTTCATCCCATTTTCACTATAGCACTGAGTAGGACACGAACCAAAAGATCATGACATCAAAAAAGGCACCATTAGTTAATTGAAAGGAATAAGTGCAAAAACAAACAGACAAACAAACAGAAAACCCTCTTTAGCTATAAAAACTAGATGAGAAATATTTTCTGGAATAGACTAAAATAGGTGTAAATTCCCAGAATCTTAAAATACTTTATACTGTTGTATCCATGATGCAACTAAAAACAATACGTTTGAATTAGATAAGTGATTCTGAGAAATTTAAAACAATTCACAGTACAGAGCTTGGCTTATTCTTGGACAATGGATGTTGTGTATGCCTTCATATATATGAAATATAAATTTTATATAAATAAGAAAGAACCCAAGGTTCTTTCACAAATTTCAGATGACATATAGTTCTCTATAATTTTTAGTGTCATAAAATGAAAGAGCTCTTGTGTTTGGGAAATGCATTCTGAAGAGATTAGGCAACAAGATTTTGGTGTGTAAGTGAAATAATTCTTGTATGTGGGAATAGGTGAAACAAGAATAACCATGAAATGATCATAAAGACAGATCTGGGGAAGGGTTCCTGGGGTGTATAACATCTTCCTTCCTGTGTATATATTTGAAAATATTCATTACAATGGGTAGAATATGTCCTTGAATCAATTTTATGTAAGAGGAATGAATTTAAAAGGACAGGGAAGAACTTTGGTTCAAGGGTTTAAGAAGCATGTATAAAATTACAAATTGTAAGGATTAAATATGTGGAATATATTATAAAACAATTATACTTTGAAAAAGGTATTTTAAATAGCAAAGGTAATTAATACCAAAAAAAATTGTCTCTTCCTAATTATTTTACTATGTTTTACTCTCATTTATGTCCCTGATACTATTTCTAGCTACCATATCAGAATGGTGGAAACAGACTCTAATAATGTGCAACAGCACATCTCAACTCCATGTTCAGTAACATCATTTTGGCAGCTTGAAATTGGCCACGGTAGAAATATTTACACCAGGAAAATCAACAAATACTAAAACCAGGGTTTGTTTTATTGAGTGGCTAGATATAAGAACCTGAAGAAGAATGTGTTAATGATACAGGTTAGGTTTAAAAACACATAGTGTCTAGGCTAACACTATGAATGGCACAGAAGAGTTGAGAAAATATTCTCCTGGGATTCAAAGACAATTATTCAATTTAGCAAAGAAGTCGCTCACATGTTTGAAGAATGAGTAAAGTTCTAACATAACTTTGTTATACATCTTAATTTTATGAAATTTTATGGAAGATGTATAAATGGTAAATAAACAGGTAAAAAAAAATGCTCAGCATCATAAAACACCAGAGAAATGCAATTAAAACCAGTTAGATGGCAATACACACTTATTAATGCAAGTAAAATTTAAAAAGACCAGACACACTAAGAATGGACAAACTGGTGGAGGAACAGGAATGTTCATACACTATTGTTGGGATTGGAATGGACCCAGCCAGTTATCACATTTGGCAGTTTCTTAAAAAGTGAAACATTCACCTAATGTAAAGTATTAACTAACAACAAAAAAAAACCACAATCCCATATGAAGGACTGTATGCCTATGTTTATTGCAGCTTTATTTGTAACCTCCTCAAATTGGAAACAATACAACCGCCCATTAAGCAATGAATGGATAAACAAATAGTGGCATAGAACAGAATACAACTTAGCAATAAAAAGAATGAACCATTCACATAACTAACAATAAGAAATCTAAAAATAATTATCCAGCATGAAAAATATTAGGAGAAAGTGCTTTAAGAGTCCATTCATATTAAACTTTAAAAATTAATCAAATTAATTAATCCATTGTTAAAGCAAATAAATCATTAATCTGCATCAAGATTATGATGGCTTCACTGGTTTATGTGTATGACAAACACATATAAGTTATTGTGTGTTAATTATACCACAATAAATTTTTGTAATGATTCAAAATTAAAATTCTGGTTCTCTCACGTTTTAGAGATGGCATAGTTTGGCAACCCATGTTGACTCCACTGTCTCCTTCCTTGTGCCTGGGTAAGGGCAGCCTTCCATGAGTGCAGAAAATACTGACAAGTACTGAGGCTGTTCTAATCTGAGACTACAGAAACACTTACTAGACCAAAAAAATCCACAACCCTGTATATACTACAGGAGATCCAGTCTATCTCCTCATCTTTTTGCCTGTATAGAATTTGGCCTTTAGGTGAATATCCCAGAAAACAACAGAAATCTGCAATAGTTTAAGAATGTTTTCTCTGACAATGACCTTAATCACAGGACTCAGATTTGAAGGTACTGTGATTGCTCAGAGTTATAGTCATTGGAATTTGAAATGTACTTTTACAAGCACATTCTATCTGACTTGTTACCAATTCCTTCACTCCTTATCAACCATACCCAGTATTTCTATACCAATTATGGTTCACATCTGGCTCCTGTATTTTTACCAGTGATACCAGCCTATGAAATTATGCACATGAGGGCATATTGCTCTTTGCAGAACTGGATGAAAAGCTTCTCCCCAACAGTGCTGGGCATTATGTGATATCACATAGGAGTAACAGAACAAATTCAGGCTATTCCAAGAAGCACTAGACAGAGTAATAACAATTGATTCTTTTTCAGGGTGACCACTGGTCTCAAACAAACAAACAAACAAAAAACGGAGGCACTGAGGCCAAGAACTAGGACCACAAAGCCCTGCATTATTTCATTGGAGGACTTGAGTAGCAATGCAAATCAAACAAAATGGAATAAGAACTACTGTTATTGTAGTGTCCCTGCTGAGACCCACAAAGTAAAAGTTCCACAAAAGCTGTTAAATATAAACAAAGCTCAATTCTGTATTCCATCTACCCAAAGTAGTGAATACAACCCTATGATTAAAAGTAGATGAAATAATAAGGGCTTTATTTGTACACAAACTAGAGCAGTGCTAAGTAGGAAGTTACCAGTTAGTGTTTTGGAGCCAGAAAACATCAATCACGAAGGTCATGTGAGACCTTCTATGAAAGCCTCTTGCTGAATCCAGATCAGGTCCTCTTGTCCCAGACAGATCCATGGGGTACTCAGAAAAAAGAATAAGGGATCAGGCTACTCAAGATTTCCTCCAGGGAATGGACAGATGTTTGCCTTACTTTGGCACATCAGGGTGACCAATGCCCACTGTACAAGGTACAAGATGGCTTCTACCAAAGAAAATGGCAGCGATTTAATTCTGGCAAAGGCTTCAGGCAGTCTAGAATGTGCAAAGTAGCTCATGAAAGCCTCACGCATGCCTGTAACTCAAAGGGAATTTTACCCTCTAAATTCTTCAGGCAGATCACTCCCTCACAAAGGCTCTCTAGTGTCTCAACAGAGACAGCACATGTCCTATAGTTCTAAGGTTTTTCTCAAATGTGAACTTTCTGGTTCTAAACAAGTTGAACCTTGGACTTCTCATATTTGCTGCCTTCATGAGGCTCTACATGTTATGACATTTTTGGTGTTGAAAGAAGCTAGAGCGTTGGCTAAAAGATTTCCCACATTTGATGCATTCATAGGGCTTTTCTCCAGTGTGAACTACCTGATGTTGAATGAGGACAGACTTTTGCCTAAACGATTTCCCACACTGGCCACATTCATATGGCCTTTCTCCAGTATGAATTCTACAGTGTTGAATAAGGCTGGTGCTTCGACTAAAAGACTTTCCACATTCACCACATTTATAAGGTCTTTCTCCAGTATGAACTCTCTGGTGTTTAATGAAGGCAGCTCTTCGGCTGAAGGATTTCCCACACTGGTTACACTCATAAGGCCTTGCTCTAGTGTGAATTCTCTGGTGTTCAACAAGGCTGTAGCTTTGCCTAAAGAACTTTCCACATTCACCGCATTCATAAGGCCTTTCTCCAGTGTGAGTTCTCTGGTGTCGATCAAGTTTAGATTTGTACCCAAAAGCTTTCCCACATTCCCTGCACTCATAAGGTCTTTCTCCAGTGTGAACTCTCTGGTGTCTAATGAGGGTGGCTCTTTGGCTAAAGGATTTCCCACACTGGCCACATTTATAAATCTTTGCTGTAGTGTGAATTCTACGGTGTTCAATGAGGCTGAAGTTTTGTCTAAAGAACTTCCCACATTCACCACACTCATAAGGCCTTTCACCAGTGTGAATTCTCTGGTGTCTAATAAGGGTGGCTCTTTGACTAAAAGATTTCCCACATTCTCCACATTCATAAGGCCTTTCTCCAGTGTGAATTCTGCAATGTTCAATAAGGTTGGAGCTTTGACTAAAGGATTTCCCACAGTCCCCACACTTATATGGCCTTTCTCCAGTGTGAACTCTCTGATGTATAATGAGGGTAGCTTTCTGACTAAAGGATTTTTCACACTGGCTACACTCATAAGGCCTTGCTGTAGTGTGAATTCTCTGGTGTTCAACAAGGCTGAAGCTTTGTCTAAAGAATTTCCCACATTTGCCACACTCATATGGCCTTTCTCCCGTGTGAGTTCTCTGGTGCCGAACAAGGTTGGATTTGCACCCAAAGGCCTTTCCACATTCCCTACACTCATAAGGCCTTTCTCCACTGTGAATTCTGCAGTGTTCAATAAGATTGGAGCTTTGACTAAAAGATTTCCCACATTCGTCACATTTATATGGCCTTTCTCCAGTATGAACTCGCTGGTGTATAATAAGGGTGGCTTTTTGGCTAAAAGATTTGCCACATACACTGCATGCATAAGGCCTTTCTTCATTGTGAACTCTCTGGAATGGAACAAGTGAGTACTTGTCACGGAAGGTTTCACCACATTTACTAGACTCATAAACCGTTTTTCCAGTACAGATTCTTGGGTGCTGAACAAGAGTATGCTTGTGGCTGGAAGTTTTTCTGCATTCACCCAACTTGTAATGCCGCTTTCCACAGTAAAAAGCCTCCTCATATTTGGTGATTTTGTTTGGTTTCTCACCTTTAGGAATGGATTGAGGCTGGAGAAGTCTCCACTGTGCCGGGAAGACCTTTCCAATCTTCCTACAAAGGAAGGGATTCTCTGACACATGGGATAGGTTGTTCTTCGCAAAGGAGGCCCTGTTCAGATCTCTTTTTAATGAGTTCTCTGCATTGTGATACTTCTGATTGTGGTGAAGGATTTCGCATGCCCTAACAAAGTATGGTTTCTGCCCACGTAGATCACCCAGATGCAAAATGTCTTTCAGGATTGGGACACATATCTCACAGGGGTGAGTCTTCTGGGGAGACAGACATGCCCTTGGAGTTCTGACCTGGGACGTTTTTCCTACAGAAACACTCTGTGTAGAAGATATCTCTTCATCCTCCATTCCATGCCAATAAGCTGAAAGAAGATAAATGCTGATAAATGCATGAAAACCATAGTGGGAGTGTATTAACCATAATTTAAACATTTTCTGTATAATATGATGTTTTGACACCTTAAAAAAAATGTTGCTGGCCAGAAACACTGCCCCTCCCAGGGCTAGTCAATTCTTTTCTTTTTTTTTTTGGCCTTTAACATTTTAATGGTAACTTAATTTTTTTTTTTAATAAAGTAGGATTTATTAAGAAGACAGAAAAGCTCCCACAGTAGGAGGGGACGTGAAAGAGGTTGCCCACTAGCCAATTCTTAAGATAGCAAAGGGCTCAACTGGAAGCACATACTTCATAGGTTAATAAACCAATTCAGAGCCCATACTCCAAACTATGTTTCTTGTGCTTTGTACACTCCAGGAGGTAACAGTCCTCTGCCCTAACCATTCTGGGGCCAGGTACCAGACAACTAAGGCCAGTCCCCCTTCCCAAAGCTTAACCAGTCAATCCTAAGCTGTTTACTATGCCCTGCCTTTCCTGTAGACTCCAGTAAAGGCTGTGGCTTAATGTTTTCCCCTCCCTCTTGCTTTTGCCGCCTGATCACCTGATACTTCTCCATGTCGCCCCATATGACATAATGTGCCTCCTTCTACCAGAAATGTAAGTAATGTTTCTTCAGTGGCATTCACTTCTCCATGCTGGCACTCAGTCACCTCCACAAATTAAAATCTCATGGGTAGTTTATTTATTAATTTATTTATTTTTGAGTCTCACTCTATTGCCTAGACTGGAGGGCAGTGGCACGCTCACGGCCACTGCAGCCTCAACCTATTGGACTCAGGCAATCCTTCTGCCTCAGCCTTTCAAATAGCTGGAACTACAGGCATACACCACCATGCCCGGCTAATTTTTTGCTTTGCTGTAGAGATGAGGTCTCACCAAGTTGCCCAGGCTGGTCTTGAACCCGTGAGCTCAGGCAATCCTCACCTCGGCCTCCCAAAGTGCTGGGATTATAGGCATGAGCCACTGTGCCGGCCTCATGGGTAGTTTAAAACAATTGATGGAACAAGCAGGGTGAATCAGTGATCCACAGCCGGGGCTTTTCTCTGGACTACTCTACAGTCACTACCTAACTATACCACTCAATATGCTCTGCCTGAGAAGGCACTGCTAGCCATTGGTGTGCTTGTACTTTAGCTGGTACCACTTTGAGCTGGTAAAGAAAGGACCCAAGAAATAATTAACTGTCTACACTGTCTTAAACATCAGGCTGGTTGGTTATATATTTATGGTTGCTTGTTGTTTGTTTATTTGTTTATTCATTCATTGATTTAAGTCTGTTGCCCAGGCTGGAGTACAGTAGCGCAATCATGGCCACAGCAGCTTTGCCTTGCTGGGCTCAGGCGATCCTTCCACCTCAGCCTTCCAAGTAGCTGAAACTAATTGCCGCATGCCACCATACCCAGCTAGTTATTTTTTTATTTTTTATTTTTTTTACTATAGAGGTGATGTTTCATCAAGTTGCCCAGGCTGGTCTTGAAATGCTAGGCTCAGGCAATCCTCTCACCTCTGCCTCCCAAAGTGCTGGTAATACAGGTATGAGCAACTACATCCAGCTCAGACAGTCATCTTAACACAGGATGCCTTGACCAACAAGTGGTACTTTCTTCACATTTATTATAACCTGTGAGCAAATGCTTTTACTGGAACGAGGGTGGAGGACACGCATCAAAGGCACAAGGAGAATTTTTTTTTTTTTTTTTAGTTGGAGTCTCTCTTGGTCACCCAGGCTGGAGTGCAGTGGCACACTCATGGCCACCCCAGCGTGGACCCGC